GACGCCCCCGCGCGGGGGGGGTGGTGGGGTGGGGGGTGTGTTGCCCTGCTGCTGCCGCCGCCGCCCCCTGGGCAAAGGAGGGGGCTGGGGTTGGGGCACGGGGGTGAGGAGAGGCAGAGGGAACTGGGCTGATTCAGTCTGGAGCTGGGGACAGCCATCCAAGAAGCCCAAGACTGAATGGATTCAGTCTTTGCAGGTTAGTCTAGCCTGCAGAGCTTGATCCGCCAAGCAAGTAGATAGACGTTCAGTTTTGATCCCAGACATGCAGGCACAGGCCTGCAGTGGCTCAGGCTAGAAGCCTGGTGGGATGGGGGGGCTAGAGCAAGCCCTCCCTTCCCTTTCATAGTGCTGAGATGAGGGGGTGGCCTGAGTATGTTTGGGGAGGGGTTTAAACCACCAGGCTGGCCTGCAGGGACCCGAGCTGGGATGTACCTGGAGGCTGGAAGCAGCCTTTGCCAGGCTTTTGGGGGGCTGGGGAACATGGTCAGACCCTGGCCCCTGACTAGATGCCAGCTGAGCATGGTGGCCCCCTGAGGCAAAGGCAGCAGGAAGGGAATTTATTACACCTGCCATTCCCCCTCCCTCCAGGGTCTGCCTGGCCAAGGGCAACCAGCAGACACAGTTGCCAGGGCTGGCAGAGGGTCCCCCAGTGGGAGAGGGGAGGGAGGGGAGAAATAAACCCTCTCCCTGTCTCCTTCACTCCATGCTGGGCAGGCCTCTGGCCACAGCCCTGCCCCTGCTTCAGCTAGAGAGCAGTGACAGGGCATCTTGCTTTCTGGAGCAGACAACACAGCCCAGCCCAGGGCTGCAGAGCATGCTGGGGGACTCTGGTTTAGCTTAAACCAGGAAAGGGTCTGGGACAAAAGCTCCATAAACCAATTTGACCTCAATCAGTTAAAGTCTGATACTACATTCAATCAGGTTTATCTTAGATCAGTTTCAGCCATTTTGAAACTGGTTTATGTGCACTGAACTTCTGTTCTGTTACAGGTTTAAACCAGTTTCTGATCATTTAAACTGGTTGATGTGCAACTTTTGTCCCTAGCCAAGAAGAGTGAGGGGGGAGTTGGCAGCAGCTTTTCACTCCTTGAGGGGGGGCTCCCAAAAGGATGGAACTGGACTTGTCTCAGGGGTGGGGCAGATGACAAGATAAGGAGTAATGGTATCAAGTGGCAGCAAGAGAAATGGAGGTGAGATATTAGGAAAAGCTCTCTCACTAGGGGGTTAGAAAAGCACTGGAACAGGTTACCCAGAGGTGGTTTGGATGAAAAGCAACCAGTTAGATCATAGAAAATTAGGGTTGGAAGGGACCTCAGGAGACCATGTAGTCCATCCTTCAAGGGTTTAAGGCCTGGCTCAACAAAGCCTTGGCTCAGATGAGATAGTTGGGGATGGCCCTGCTGTGAGCAGGGGGTTGTACTCACTAGATCAGCATTTCTCAACCTGTAGGTTGCAACCCAAAAGTGGGTCGGAAGAATATATGAATGGGTCACGAGCAAACTTTAAAAAATGATTCTCCTTTAAAAGGAGAAAAATGTGGGGAACCATGGGTTTTCCCTTGCTTCTGCCAACCTGAGAGGGACTGCTTGGGGCACCCTCTGCCCCACACACTGGGGGGGCTGGGGCATGGAGGCAGGGGGTAGTGGATTGGGAGTGAGGGGTACTGAGTTGGGACTGGCCAGTGTTTACAAATGGGTCCTGGTACAAAAAAGATTGAGAACCACTGCAGTAGATAACCTCCTGAGATCCCTTCCAGCCCTAATTTTCTATGATTCTTTCTATGAGTTCCTCACTGGAAGGCACAGGCAAAGAAGGTTCTTTGGGTAAATCACTATATTTTATTAGACCAACCCAAATAGTTGGAAAAAATCTTTTTTGCACGCTTTTAGGTAGAAATACCATTCATCAGGCTGAGGAAACATCTGCAGTTGGTCTGTGCTCTTCCTGGATGAAACAGTAAAAAAAGCCAAAAGCCAGCATGCAAGTGAGAAAGCCAGTCAGTGAAAATGTAAATTGAGGCAGTCAGGGGCAGGTGGGGGGGGAGGGAAGTGGGTTGAATATAGCTGGTAAGGTGGTAGAGAGGTTACCTGGGGAGATGTTAGACAGGTTATAATGTGTCATAAATCCAATGTCTATATTTAGTCCATGATTTTTTGTATCTATTAGGCAGGAGGCTAGAGCTGAATCTGAGCCCTCCAGCTCCAACCCCAGCTTCATGCAACATCCCAGCCCTCTAGTTTTCAACAGCAAGTGATGTGAAAACCCACACTGAATCCCAAATTAAGTTTAAGGCCTTGAAATCCCCCACCCTCTGTTTCCTAGTGTTAGGTTGATGTAGCCCAGGGGTAGGCAAAATGTGGCTCGGGGACCGGATGTGGCCCACCAGGCCATTCTATCCGGCCTGCGGGCCCCCTCAAAAATTTAGAAAATTAACATTAATCTGCCCTGGGCTGCCTGTCATGCGGCCCTCGATGGCTTGGCAAAACTCAGTAAGTGGCCCTCTGCCCAAAATAATTGCCTGCCCCTGATGTAGCCGTTGATGGTCCAGCCAGAAGCCAGGGTTTCGTAGGGCGATAACCTTTTTATGGGATCAACTGTATAATTGGGATAGAATCAAACAACCGTTTGGATACAAGATGTTCTTCATCAGTGATGGGAAGGATTTCACTGTTGGATCCCATGCTGGACAGGCTAGGATGTGCCAAGTGAAATCTTATTGATATGATAGGGAGAAGATACTTGCAAAGATAAGGCACCACTGTCCTATGTCATGTTCACTCTGCAGCCCACAGGCCAGATGAGCAGTGCCAAGTCTGTCCACAGGCCCAGTCCAGTGTGCAGTGTTGGCCCAGCCTGAGCCCAATCCAGCTGTACTGAAACGGCCCTGCCAGGGTTAGTCCAGCTGCACAGAGCCAGGGCCTGACATAGCCACATAGGAACAGCCTGCCTGGGACCTGATGCAGCCACTCAGCTACAGCCTGTCCAGGTCACAGTCATGTTGCTACACTGGGCCTAGCCATGAGGTGCCAGTCCAGTCCAGCCATGTGGAGCTTGGAAATTTGGCAGCGGGAAGGCAGTGGCACTGTTAACTACTATTGTTCCTCCACTGCCAAGTTTCTGGACCCAGGGAGAGACCTGTGGCTATGGGTTGAGCGGCCCTGGCATTGGAAAAGGTGAGATCAGATGTAAAGGAAAGTGAAGGAGAAACAGATTAACTATAGTGTTAACAAACAACAAACCAGGTGTAAAGAAAGCCAGTCTGATATTGCCACAGATTACTGTTATTGTTCCAATTATAAGTCTACCTTCTTTCTTGCCCTTCAAAAGAATCATTTAAAAAGATACTACATACATCTCTGGGGTCTTGGTGTTTGTACTTGCAACATTTCTGTGCATACCATAAAAATACCAAGGCATGCAGCAATGTTTTCAGTGCAGTTACTTAAAATAATTTTAGTGTGTTTAATCCTTTGGCTCCTTTCCTTGAGCATGTGTCTGCGGCACGCAGTTTGTGGCACCTCAGACTGCTCTGAGGTGCCACAAACTGCACATGTGTGCTTATTATCAGGTTGCACCCTTAGAGGCTAACATCATAATAATAATAATAATAATAATAATAATAATAATAATGATGCATGCTAACTTTATCCATGCAATCGCAAGAACTTCATGTGCCTACTGATTATTTGATTTTCCTGTACGATTTTGTAAAGTAGCATGCAGGAGCTTGATCTGATGCTGACTTGTATTTGTGGGGGTAGGTGTGGGGGGTGGGATTTCCCTAAAATTTGACCTCATGTTTTCAGGTTACTTATAATCAGAACAATGCAGTGCTCCTTGTGCTAGTGACACCTTAAATGTGCCTCAAATGCTGTCATGTCCATGTTCTGAAGTATGGTAGATCATTTGTGCCGTGCCAAAGTTTTGCTTCCTTGGTTTGAATTTCAATCTCATGTGAGACAACCAACACAAGAGCCAAGATTTGCCTTTACCAGGCACCCTTTGGGAGTAGGCTTACTTGGTGCAAGACACCAGACAACCTCCATGCTCATAACAAGAGGTTCTTAGTAGGGCTGTGTGAAGCTTCAGGGAGATTTGATTCAGAGGAGATTCGGCCCAATTCGGCAGCCAAATCCGAATCAAATCAGGAGACCAATAAAAGGTCTAAATTGATTCAAAGCTCTCCAAATCAATTTGGAAAAGATTCAGAGAGCTTTGGAGAGTCTGGCAGTCCCCACTTGCTGCCACAGGGAGCTGGACCTGGACTCCGTGCAAGCAAGTAGGGGGGTGAGGGAGGGGCACTGGAGGAAGGAGGAGGGGACCATGGGGGACCTCCATCAGGCCCCATCCCCTGCCTGCTCCTCCAACCCCCCCTGGGCAGGGCAGGGCAGCCATTAAACAGGGCTGGGAGAATGGGCAGGGGATGGGGGCTCATGGCAGAGCCACCCCCATGCAGCACAGGGCAGTGGGGTGCAGCAGGGATCACCCCCCCCAGCATGGCAGGATCCAGTGAGTGCAGGGCTTAAAGAGCCGGGATGATGGGGCCAGGCAGGGCATGGGAACAAATCTCCAAATCAAACAGGCCAATTCAGCAGCGGCTGAATTTCCGAATCAGATTTGGCCAAATTGATTTGGGACTGATTCGAATCGCCGAGCTAAATCACTGTCCCCTGAATCAGCGAAATCCTGTGCAAAGCAGCTAGTATTTGCTTCCGATTCGGCCTAGTTCTTAGTATGAGAGTTAGTTATACTTAAACAAGGCAGTTGGTTCTGCCACCCTTTGTGTTAGTGATTCTCAGTTTTTTTTGTTTTGTTTTGTTTTGTTTTGTTTTTTAAGACTTGAGGCACCCCTAAGAAAATGCCAGCTCTTAGTTTTGCAAGGTTCTTTGGGTAGGTGTGATATCTTTTATTAGATGGAGTAGTTAGAAAGAAGTTTGCAAGCTTTCAGGCGTACACACCCTTCTCCAGGCATAGGGAGTCTCTGCTACAGCAGAGAACAGCAGAGACTCCCTATGCCTGAAGAAGGGCAATTGCACCCGAAAGCTTGAAAATAACTTTTTGCCAACTACTCAATTGGTCTAATAAAAGATATCACACCTACCCAAAGAACCTTGCCTGCCTATGTCCTTAGACCAACACAGCTACAAGCAAAAACCCAGCTCTTAGTTTTCACTCTTTTTTGCCTACAGAAAGAAA